GAACTCTCGGCTACTGTAAATAACCTATTGTGATGTGGGGGTGTGTTCTGGGTGGTGGTTTCATGGAGAATATAAGCTGGCCTGCGAGCCGGCTAAAGTTGTCTTGTTCCTCACTAAATAAATTACGTTAGCTGATATCACTCGTCTGTCCACGTAGTTTTCAGAATGTCAGGTTATTGTCGCACAAGCACTGGTTGTTCATTTTGGTCTGGATGTAGGGAGGTCTTGTAACTCCACAAGCCCACAAGGTGAATGTACCACAGCCTAGGAGAAATGGAAATCATATCCCTGCTGAGCTCCCTCCACTCTCTTAACTCCAATTTCCACAAGCACCCCCCCCCCCAATCTCCAAGAATTTCTACATCACAGTTGGAGACCCTAGTCCTTGATGAAGGGGACTGGCAGTTTCTCACAGGGACCTAGCGGTCACATCATGAGATGGCATTCTTTCACACTTAATTCTTGTCATGATTCTTTGATTGAATCTAAGACAAAAACTGCCTCCTTACCTACGTTTGTAGGGGTTTGGAGGGGGTAACATCTTGATGCTGACACTGAAAACTCCCTTATCTGGTAACAGAGAAACATTCAGAGAAAGGCTATACAGAAAGACAAGGATGTATTGGATCCATTCCAGTCCAGCTTTCACCCCAGCCACAGGACAGAGATGCTGTTGGTTGCCCTGACAGATGATCTCTGCAGACAGCTGGACTGAGGCAGGTCAGTGCTGCTGTTAATGCGAGACCTCATAGTGGTGCTTGACATAGTCGACTATGATCTTTTGGCCCACCACCTAGCTAACGTGGGAGTCTGTGGGGTAGCTCTTCAATAGCTTACTTAATTTCTCCGTGGTCGGGGACAGAAGGTGGCACTGAGAGAGAGTGTGCCCTCTAGGCACCCTTTAATGTGTGAGGTCCCTCAGGGGGCGCTCCTCTCCCCAATGTTATTTAACATCTATTTGCATCCCCTCACCTACATGGAGTTTCAGGCTTGGGTGTCACCAGTATGCTGATGACCCCCAGCTGTATCTGTTGTTGGACGTTCACCCAGCTGCCACCCTGTAAAATCTGGCCATGGCTTTGGAGGCCATGGTGGGGTGGTTAAAAAAGAGCAGGCTGTGACTGAACCCAACTAAGATGGAGGTTCTGTGATGCGGGGGACTTCAGGGTTTGGGCATAGTCTTCCTGCTCTTGATGGGGCACCGTTGACCCTGGCACAGTCCATCAAGGGTGTGATTTTGGACACCTCCCTAACTATGAAAGCCCAACTCATCTGCGCCAGGCTCAGCAATTGACCCTTTCTTGTCATGCCCTGACCTAGCCGTGGTAATCCGTGCAACAGTCACCTCCAGGCTAGACTACTGTAACTTGCTTTATATTGGCCTGCCCTTGAGACTGATACGGAAGCTCCAGCTGATTCAAATGCAGTGGCGTGAGTCCTGATGGGAATGTCATGGACAGCACACATACAACTTGTGCTGCACCAGCTACATGGGCTTCCAATGGAATACCGAGTCAGGTTCAAGGTTTTGGTGTTGACTTTTAAGGCCTTGAGTGGTCAGGGACCAATGTATCTGTGGGACAGTCTCCTCTGGTATGTCCCTGGGAGGCCATTACACTCCTTGGATAGCAATCTGCTGGTGGTCTCTGGCCCCAGAGATCTCTAGTTGTCCCCGACCAGGGCCAGGGCCTTTTTGGTTCTGATCCCAACCTGGTGGAACTCTCGGCTGAACACCATCAGGGCCCTGCAAGTCCAGAATGTGACGTAATGTGTAGCTCGCCATCTGGAGTCCTTTAAAGTTGTAATACCAGTATTGTTTATGTATCTGATTTTTATGCTTTTATATTTTCATCTATTGTTGTACATTGCCCAGAGCCCTGCAGTAGCAGGGATTGGACAATTCAAATTTTAAAAAATAATAGTAATAATGTAAGGAGATAGTGTTGCCAGGCAACAATTCACCTTTAAATCTTCCCTCTACCACATTCTCATAGGAGATTTTATTTTTCTAACCTTGGTATATTTTTCATAGACAAATCTTCTCTGTATTATTATTGAGCAAGATGTTACAATTTTTTGTGCCGTTTGCAATTTTCTCATGACCCCTGAGTATGCTACTTTGTGTGACACATTGTTGGCAATATCCATACTTGAACTGAAATCTGTTTATTAAAATCCTTTCTCCGCCTTAAATGAGATGTTTGAGCAGAAAATGGCAACCCCAACTAGTACCTCAGGATATGATGAAAAAATAATCACCTTATTCTCTTATTAGGGGAATTTTTCATCTTGAGCCTACCTGCCCACCAAGTATTTGTATGTTAGGAAAAAATCAGGACCTAAATAAGAAACGACCAGGGAATAAGCACCAGAATATATATAGGTCCCGGTCACTTGGAAAATTTGCCGCGCGAGAGGCACGGCTGCCGGGCAGATTAAGAGGGCACAATCATATGGCAACATCTGGCAAGCGTCGCGCTCCCGTCTCCAACCCGTAGCGTCCAGCCGAATATGCGGAGTTTAAAAGTAGCTGGAAAAGTGTAGTATTATCTGGAAAACACGGGGTGTGGATGGGCATCTGATCACAGAAGCGCTGGTATCCCATCGCATCTGGTGCCCAATGGATGTTTTTTTGTAAGCCTCTGTGGTATGCGCACAAATGCGCACATGCACAAATGCGGTACTGCTTCGTTGCCATGCTTCGCCATCACCGTTTGATCGGCGGCTCACGGCCTGAGCACAGAGCCTCGGGGGAATGTGTGATTGACCTACCACGCTTCATTTTGCTCTGGAGCAAAAAGCCTCACCCCCCCCCCAGATTATCTTGCTCATGTGACTGGGGCCATAGTAACAAACACAAATATATTTTAATAATATCTCATCAATTAATATGGCCTTTGAATTTTAGCAGCAGAAGAAGCCATGGTGCAAATAACAACATTGTTTCAAACTATTAGGGATATATGTGCCAGTGCACACATCTTTTTCTCAATGAGTGAACTTTTTAAGTTTTAGAGATTTGCACATTTAGGGTGAGTGACTATTTCGCCTGCTGCTCTGATTGCTAGTGCTGCCAAATCCAATCCATGAAGAATGCCAAATGTTAATTAGCCTGAGTCCTTTTGGCAACCCACCTATGCTCATCTTTTGCCTTGACAACCCTATGCGGTTTCCACAAGCTGTCTGTGACTTGACAGCATGTTCCACCACCATATAATAATACAAAGCACATGTAGTCCATTCTGACTGGCGGGAGCTGTAATTTATGCTTTCTACTGATCAGAGCTTCTCTGGTTTTCCTTCTCTATCTGCTTGTAAATTCTTACATCCTGAAGGTCTTTCTGCTACTCAAAGGCCCGTTCATTACTGCTTCCTATAATCCTCTTGTTCCTATAAACTTTATAGAACATAGCTCGGCATGGGTGGGAGTGAATTATTTGCCTCAGCTGAATAGAATACCATAGAGCCCATCCTCCAAAGCAATTATTTTCTCCAGGGGAGGAGAGATCTGTTGTCTGGAGTTCAGTTGTGATACCTGAAAATCTTCAGGCTCCACCTGGAGGTTGGCTACCCTAGGCGTAGCAGTTACCATTTCAGAGCAGGGCCTGCCAGACCCAGGTTCTTGCTGTGAAAATCGAGTGGGCAATTTTGGACAAGTCACAGACTTTCAGCCTAACCTACCTCGCAGGGTTGTTGTGCAGATCAAAAGGGGGAGAGGAGAATGATGTAAGCTGCTTTGGCCTCCACTGTGGAGAAAGAATGTACTTTGCCTCCTGGGTAACAATTGCTGCCAATCTCCAGGTGAGGTCTGGGGATCACTCAGAATTAAAACTGTTCTCCAGATGGTAGAGATCAGGGACAGATAGTGGTAGGTTGATGGTTGGCTGGGAAGGAGATAGGGTTGCAAACTCCAGGTTGAGAGATTTCTGGAGATTTGAGGGGTTGTTGGATCCCCAAGCATCGAGAATAAATCCACGTTTTCGAGAAAAGCAAAATTTATTTCAAAGCTTTGGAAAGACACTCAAACACGTTCTTTGTTAGAACTGACTACCTCCAGGTGAGGGTTGGAGATAACTCTGAATTACAACTGCTCTCCAGGAGGGAGGGGGGAGGAGATGGAAAGCTGAAGCAGAGGGGCAGATAAAAGTAGGTTGATGGTTGGCTGGGAAGGAGATAGGTTTGCCAACTCCAGGTTGGGAAATTCCTGGAGATTTGAGGAGTGGAGCCTGGAGAGGGTGAGGTTTGAGGAGGGGTGAGACCTCAAACAGGTACAATGCCATAGGCTCCACCCTCCAAACCAGTCATTTCCTCCTGGGGAATCACTGCTTCCAGTCTCCAGGTGAGGGCTGGAGACCACTCAGAATTACAGCTGCTCTTCAGATGGCAGAGATCAGTTCCCCTAGAGAAAATGGTGGACTCTGTGTCAATATGCCCTGCTGAGGTCACCACAGCAAATTGACGCTGAGTGTCCAAAGCTGAAGCATCCACCCAGAGCCTCTTTCTAGAGCTCGTTGTATTTATTTCCACAACGGACCTTATTCTTAGTTATATAATAATAACTGTCCTTAGTTTTATAGGGTGTTCATTGCACTCATTTCACTGTATACCAATGACTGATATACCAACAACATAAGGTATGTCCATTTTCCTGTTTCATATTACAGATATTTTAGGGAGGCCCAGTGAGTGGACATAAAGGCAAAATCTGGACTATGAGTTTTCTTGGTTCATAATACACATTCTTAGCCACTGTGCCACAACATCTTCACTAGTGGGTATCAACTGCAGTGATTTAAAGTAGCTACACTCTGAAAGTACAAAATATCTCTGAAGTTTTGAAACAAGGACTGTACCTTTCAATAGGAGACATCTGACAACAGTTGTCCTCTATATTTGATAGAGGACCTCCCACTCCTTCCCTAACAAAACTTAGTTACTTTAATGTTCCCGGTCCCTTCTGCTTTAAGAACCACTAGCTTTCTCTTTTTTCTCTCCTATAGAATCAGATATTGCTGACTTTGATGGGAGAAGCTCCCTCCTCTACAGGTTCAACCAAAAACAGATGAGCACCTTTAAAGACGTTATTTCCCTGAAGTTCAAGAGTATGCAGGGAGACGGGGTCTTGTTTCATGGAGAGGGGCAACGTGGAGATTATATAACACTGGAGCTTCAGAAAGGGAAGCTGGCTTTGCATCTCAACTTGGGTATGTATCCTCAAACATTCCAACATATTCTACAACACAGTTTGATCCTTAAATCATCACCATCGTCATTGCAGAATAGGTCCCATATGAAGAACATCCTTTAATACGCAACAATGAAAGGCATGTGGATGAGAGAGCGGAGTAATGTAGTGACACAGCGGCATATATCCTTACTATATTATTGTGACTTTGTGTTGGCTAGCTTCATACACTTCAGAAACATGAAGGGTTTTATTTTAGCAAAGGTTATGTAGAAGAAGGATGCTGTAAGATTGTAATACATTTGTTATTAAATAGGCTTCCCTGGGTGTGCTCTGTTTGGCAGTTGTATTTTGACACCTGTCATGCTCATAAAAAATGATAGGTACATTATGTGTACTGCATGGGCTGAATATATGCACATATGTTGCAGTTCTTTGGCCATGCAGTTATTTCTGATACATTCTTCTGTTTTGAACAAGATTTCATGTGTAAGCTGAGTTATCCTGCCCTATTTATGTGATATTTATTTGGTCCAATAAAAACCTGTCCTTTAGTGGTTACATGGGATCACATGGAAGTCAGTGAGATGTGCAGCCCAAGTATAAGAACGTTCACTTTAAAATACATCCTGCTGTTTTCAGTGGGGTTTACATGCATGTAAACATGTATGGCATTACATGCATTACTGTTTTTTGTAGCATAATCTAGCTCACTTTCAAGAATTCATGGATCCTTTTTTTTACTCAGTGGGTCATGCAGCAAGTTTAGTCTGAAGTAAGTTCCATTGGCTCTAGTGAAACTTGCTTTCAAAGAAGCATGTTTAGGATTTCACTCTTAAATGCTTTAACAATGTGTTGTGTATCTGTTTTGACATCCTCCTCCCCAGTCCTTCTACCTGAATTACACTAATTTGTAAAAGGGCACTGATTGTGTATTGACTGAGCTCAGTTGTGCCTTCTTGACAGGGAACTGGAGAATTCCCTACCTGTTCACCACTTAAATCATGAGTGGTGTGCTTTCTCCTTGATGCATGTTAATTTGCAATGTGTATCATTTTTTTTTTTTTTGCAATCTGCTTTGCTGATTTTAAGCATGGTGTGCTTCAATATGTGTTGATTACTATAACCCAATAAAATTTTGCTTGTTAGGCTGTAGCTTGTCAGAAAAAAACTATGATTGTATTTAGATTTTGGTAATTCCCATTCATTTGGAGGTAAAATTTTAACCTTTGTGTTTGGCGCATCAGAAGCATAGAATTCTCGCGATTCTAGTGTGCAATTTCTGCTGCTTGGAATGAACAAGCTTTTTAAACCTGTCCAAATGATGATGTCTAAGGAGTTTTGCTCACTGCTTTCAAAATAATTATTTAAAAGGTAGCAGAGTCACATCTGATGCATAAGGTTCACTAATTCCAGGCTGCTGGCCTGTTTATATATTGCAGCCAAAGCAACAGTCTTCTAACATCTGAAAGACTAACACATTGATTGTGGCATATGCTTTTGTGAATCTGAACTCACTTTGTCATATGCAGTCTCCACAAACTACACAGGAACTACCTCTATTCCCACCTGTGCACTGTGGTCGTATCAGGGGTCATTTTCTGCAGGAGCGCACAGGAGTGGAGCTCCAGCAGTAAAGAGCCCAGGGGGCGGGCACATGCAACAAGCCCCACCCCCTGCTCCCAGCAGCCCTCAGTCAGAGCAAGAAGCAGCCAGGTAAACTGCAGAGCCCCCTCTCCCCCCCAGTCCAAAACAGTCCAGTGGCACCTTTAAGACCAAGGTCTATTCAGGTACAAGCTCTCCCTCCTCTGCGAGGACAGATCTGCACGTTCCCCCCCTCCAATAGCTAGCAATCCAAAACAGTCCAGTGGAACCTGAGCGGTGGGTGTTGCCTTCTGACACACTTCCGGTGATGTCAGGGGGTGTGGCATATGCAAATAAGTTATGCTAATGAGTTGTGCTAATGAGCTCCTGCACCTCTTTTCCTACAAGATGACCCCTGGTTAGTCCATCATCCGGCCCAAATGGATTGTTCATTGCAAGCACTAGCAATGTCAGCCTAGCATATGTAGCATCAATTCTTTACATGAAAAGCACTTTCCCCTCTTCTGGCTATGCTTGCATCGCTTTAATTGGTTGCTCATTATGTTTACTATTCAGTGTAGAGATATGAATTAAATATTCTCTGAGTAAGGGTTGAGCTTCTCTGTTCTCATTCATTAATAATTTGTTAAGAGTGATACAGTTAATCAAGAAAAAACACTAATTGCCATTTATAGCATTGTCTTTGTTCCTTTTAAAAAACAAATTGGCTACTTCGATATAATTATAGCACAGTGCCTGCTGCGGCTCCCCCCTCCCCCCTTTTCTCAGAGGCTCCTTTCAGAGCTGTGTTATGTCCCAGCCCATCTGTGCACTTCAAGGATTCATTTCACAGCTGTTGTAGCTTTACTCCGTGCAGGGTCGTCTCTGTCCACGCAGAAAAGAAGGTCTTTGATTCCCTGTAATTGAACCCCTGCCTTGAGCAAGGCATCTTAGCCGTGTAAGCTGCATTCAGCTACTGAGATGCAACCAAGCAGAGAGGGAGAAAGAGGAGAAGAAGTCAAGAGGAAATGCCTGCAGAATATAGAATGAGTTGATGGAGTTCATGTGAAGTAACAGACAGCATCAAATCTCCAAAGAGAAACAGAAGGGGGAAAAATAAAGCACATAGGGGGAAAAATAAAACCGTCTTATTTTCCTCTTACTTTCTGGGAAGAGAGTCGGGTTGCCAGCCTCCAGGCAGGTCCTGGAGTCCCCTCAGAATTACATCTCCACATTACAGAGATCAGCCCCCCTCAAGAAAATGGCAGCTTTAGAGGGTAGAATATGATACCCCATAGATTCTAGGTGAAACCCCTCCCCAAATTCTTCCCTTCATGGGCACCACCTACAAATCTCCATGAATTTCCCAGACTGTAGCTGGAAACCCTAGGAGGGGAGGGGAGGAATTGCCCTTTCAAAATGTTAACTTTGTACAACCATTTGTTAGCATCAGATAGGGGAAAGGTGGTGTCTCTTTAGCAGCCATGACTAAAACAGAATCAGTATGACCTGTGCTCTCATTCTGTGCAATAGAACACCATTGGAAAGCATTATTTTGTGAAGAAGAAGAAGAAGAGGAAGAGGAAGAAGAGGAGGAGGAGGATTTATACCCCGCCCTTCATTACCCAAAGGTGTCTCAGAGCGGCTTACAAACTCCTTTCCCTTCCCCTCCCCACAACAGACACCCTGTGAGGTAGACGGGGCTCAGAGAGCTCTGACAGAAACTGCTCTTTTTTCAAGGACAGCTCTTATCAGAACTACGGCTTGCCCAAGGTCATCCCGCCAGGTGCAAGTGGAGGAGTGGGGAATCAAACCCGGTTCTCCCAGATTAGAGTCCGCTCACTTAACCACTACACCAAACTGGCTCTCGAAGGCAGGGAGAAGAAGAAGAAGAGATTGGATTTATACCCCACCCTTCACTACCCATAGGAGTCTCATAGTGGCTTACAAACTCCTTTCCCTTTCCCTCCCCATAACAGACACCCTGTGAAGGTAGGTGGGGCTGGGAGAGCTCTTGACAGAAACTGCTCTATTTCAAGAACAGCTCTTATCAGAACTACGGCTTGCCCAAGGTCATCCAGCCAGGTGCAAGTGGAGGAGTGGGGAATCAAACCCGGTTCTCCCAGATTAGAGTCCGGGCCCTCGACCACTACATCAAACTGGTTCTAAATTTGCTTAATCAAAGACCACTATTAAGCTCATGGGAACTAGAGAAATATCTAAAAACATCCCAAATTAGCTTCTGCAGGATACATGGTGCTTTTAATAATTTTCAAACAGTTATTATTTTTGCACTGCGTTGTGCAAAAGATATACCACATACTTCAGATTTCTTTGAACTGTCATAAATAGATGACCTTTTAAAACGGCAGAATGAATCTGGGGCAGCTGACAAGTGGGAGGGAGGCTGGATGTCTTGTGGGTGGTAAAAGAGTATTTAGGCAGATTGTTAATAGGGCAAGGTATGAACCAAGTTAGTGTCCTTTTGAAACAGACATTTTAAAACCATTAAATCAGTCCCATCACAGTGGTTATTCTACAAGATAGTGTTTTGTGAGGTATTTTTAATTAGGAAGCACACATCTAGCAGGCTTCTTGTACTGCATAAGACAGAACATAACAGAATGGAATAGTTCTATTGGGCAGGATATATTCTGAGATGGGTTCCTCTAAGGGAGGCCTGCACCCATAATGCCAGATGCATTCCACCAGCTATGTATTGTGTCTTGAGAGCTTCTTCTATTTTGCTATATCAGGGAAGAAGTAAATACAAGATGTTGGGCCCCTGTAAATGGACAAGGGTTGCCAGCCCTCTGTGGGGGGAGGGACATCCCCCATTCCCAGCTTCTCTTTTCCACCTCCACTCTGAGTGGTGGTGAAATATTTTAATTTTTTTTTTTTTTTAGTCACGGGGAAAAACTTGGAAGTGGCATCAGTGCTTTTTAGGGATCAGGAAAAAACGATATTGTTTTGCCATCGTTTCCAGCAGGAACTCATTAGCATAATAGGCCACACCCAACCGCATAAACTCATTAGCATATTAGACCATACCCTGACATGATGGCTCATTAGCATATTCGGCCACACCCCACACCTTCCCTTGGCTTGCCAGGGCAAGCCCCCCCTGGCCCGCCCGCCTCAGAGTCGCCCAGTGGGGGTCGCTTTCCAGGCCTTCCCTCTGTAGCCAGGCACGCAGAGGTTTTGGCTGTAGTGGGCGTGGCCAACTCCGAAGCCAGCCGGAACGCCGTTCCTGTGCATTCCTGCCCCCAAATAGCCCTGGTTTCCAGTGGTTCCTAGAAAAGTATGGGAAACCCAGAAGTGACATCACATTGTTGCCCCAGTGTCCCTCCATCTCCTGCTGGTTTCCAGGCTGGGTCTGCCAAACCTACAATGAATGGTAGGGCAGCATTTTGCTTGCTCTGTATATCAAAATTG